GATGTGAAGAAGCTTTTAGTTTCATGTAATCCCATTTGTCTATTTTTGCTTTTGTTGTCTGTGCTTTTGAGGATATATCAAAAAAAAAATTATTGCCCAGACCAATGACATGGTGCTTTTCCCTTTGTTTTTTTTTTTATGGTAGTTGAATAGTTTTGAGTCTTACACTGAAGTCTTGAATACGTTCAGGATTGATTTTTGTATATGGTGTGAGTTAGGGGTCCAGTGTCATTCTGCACGTGAATATCCAGTCTTCCCAGTGCTATTTATTAAAGACTATCCTTTCCCCACTGCATGTTCTTAGCACCCTTGTTGTAAATTAGTTGGCTGCAAATGTGTTCATGTGATGTATCACATTTATTGATTTATGTATGTGGAACCATCCTTGCATTCCTGAGATGAATTCCACATTATCATGGCGAATGATCTTCTTATTTCTGTTCCATTGGTCTATGTATCTGTTTTTATGTCAGTATAATGCTGCTTTGTTTACTGTAGTTTTAGTATATTTTGAAGTCGGCTAGCATGATGCTTCCTGCTTTGTTGTTGTTGCTCAAGATGACTTTGTTGGAGGTCTTCTGTAGCTCTATACACATTTTAGGATATATTTTCTATTTCTGTGAAGAATGGAATTGGTATTGTTTTTTTGACAGATGGCATTGAATCTGTAGATCACTTTGGGTAACGTGGACATTTTATTAGTACGAATTCTTCCAATCCATGAAATCAGAATGCCTTTTCATCTGTTGGTGACTACTGCAATTTCTTTCATCAGAATTCTACAGTTTTCAATGTAGAGATCTTTCACTCTTGGGTGACTTTTATTTCTATTTTGTTTTTTGGTAGCTATTGTAAATGGGATTGTTTTCTTAATTTCTTTTTTGGATAGCTCACTGTTAATGTATAGAAACACTACTGATTTTTGTATGTTCATTTTGTATCTTGCAACTGTCCTGAATTTATTAGTTCTAACAGTTTGTAAATAGTCCTTAAGGTTTTGTATATATAAGATCATGTCAACTGCAAACAGGGACAATTTAACTTGCTCCTTTCAAATTTGGAAGACTTTTTAATTCTTTCTTTTGCCTAATTGCTTTGGCTAGGACTTCCAATACTACATTGAGTAGAAGTGGCAAGGGGCATCCTTGTCTTGTTCTAGATCTTAGAGGAAAAGTTGAAAGCTTTTGTTCAATATAATATAAGCTGGGGTGTGTCATACATGGCCTTTATTATGTCTAGGTACTTTCCTTCTATATCTATTTTGTTGAGGGTTTTTATTATGAAGGGTTTCACATTTTATCAAAGGCTTTTTCTGCATCTGTTGAAATGATTATATGGTTTTTATCCTGAAATATGTTCATGTGATGTATCACATTTATTGATTTATGTATGCGGAATCATCCTTGCATTCCTGAGATGAATTCCACATTATCATGGCGAATGGTCTTTTTAATGTATTGTTAAATTTGGTTTGCTAGCATTTTGTGGAGGAGTTTTGCATCTACCATCATCAGGGATATTGGCTTGCTGTTTTCTTTGTGTGTGCATGCCTGTGTGTGTGTGTGTGTGTGTGTGCTCTGCTTGTTCAGCTTTGGTATCAGTGTAATGCTGGTCTTGCAAAGTGAGTTGAGAAGGGTTCTATTCTCTTCAATGCTTTGAAAGCGTTTAAGAATAATTGCCATTCGTTTTTCTTTATGTTTGATAGAATTCAACGGTGAAGCCATATAGTTCTTGCCTTTTCTTTGCTGAGAGACTTTTAATTACACTTTTGATCTCATCACTTATTAGTCTGTTCGGATTTTTTATTTCTTTATGATTCAATTTTGATAAGTTATATGTGTCAAGGGATTTATTTATTTCTTTTAGGTTGTTCAATTCGTTGGCATATAACTGCTCATAATAGTCCCTTAAGATTTTTTGTATTTCTGTTTTATCAATTGAAATGTCTCTCTGTTTTTATCTGTGATTTTATTCATTTGCATATTTTCTTTTTCTCTTAGTTTGACTAAAGGTTAGTAGAATTCGTTTAATTTTTAAAGGCACAGATCTCATTTTTGTTGCTCTTTTCTATTTTTTTTAGTTTCTATTTCATTTATTCCTGCTGTGACCTTTATTATTTTCTTCCCTTTACTAACTTTGGGGTTAGTCTATTCTTGTTTTTCTGATGCTTTGAAGTACAATGTTGGGTTGTCTACTTCATATCTTTATCTTTTTCATGTAGGTGTTTATTGCTATAAACCTTCTAGAACTGTTTTTTATATATCGCATAGGTTTTGGTATGTCATATTTTCACTTTTGTTTGTCTCAACAGAATTTTAAATTTCTCTTTTAATTTCTTCATGGCTCCATTTATTGTTCAAAAGCATATTTAACTTGCATGTATTTGTGAATTTTCCAAAGTTTTTATGTAAGCGATTTCTAGTTTTATACCATTGTGGTCAGAAAAGTTACTTTTAATCTTCTTAAATTTGTGAAGATGTTTTGTAGCCTAGCACATAATTATTCTGGAGACTATTCCATGTGCAGTTGAGAAAAATGAGTATTCTGCAGCTGCCAGATGGAATATTCTAAATGTGTCTGTTATGTCCGTTTGGTCTAGAGTGTAGTTTAAGTTTAATGCTTCCTTACTTACTTTTCTGTATAGCTGATCTGTCCAATGTTGAAAGTGGCATATTGATGTTACCCACTATGGATGTATTACACTCTACATCTCCCTTTGGAGCTGTTAATATTTGCTTCATAAATTTATATACTCCAATTCCCATATCTAAATATATAAAGCAAATATTATATGAAATATTAATAATCATTATCACTCCTCTTGTTGAATTTTTTCTTTTGTTATTATTGGCCCTTGTCCTTTTCTTTTCACAGTTTTTTAAAGTCTGTTTTGTCTGATACAAGTATAACTATTCCTAGTTCGAATTCTATTTGCATGGATTGTCTTTACCTACCCCTTCACTTTCAGCATATGTGTGTCCTTCCTGGTGAAGGGGAATCTCTTGCAGGAAGCAGGAAGTTGGGTCTTGTTCCTTTAATTCATTTGGTCAGTCTATGTTTTTTGTTTGAAGAATATGATGAACTTACATTCAAGGTAATTATTGATAAGTAAGAACCTACCTATTTCTGTTTTATTAACCGTTAGTTTTCTGCAAAAGTAATCATGGTTGCTTTTGAACCAACCTATACTTTCTATTGATAGTTGTTTTGTTGATCTTTTGTTCCATTCTTCCCATCTTACTATCTTCCTTTGTGATTAAATAGTTTTCGTTAAAGGCATGTTTGATTCCTTGTTTTACATTTTTTTTATGTATCTACTATAGGTTTTTGTTTCTTGGTTACCACAAGTCTTACTCTTATAACAGGTTATTTTAAGCTGATAACAACTTATCTTTGATCATAGTCCATCCCCCCACCAAAAAAACTATGCTTTTACTCTATTCCTTTCACCAAAATTTTAAATTTTTTGATTTCACAATGTACGTTTTCTTATATTGCATATCTCTTAACAATTTCTTGCAGCTATAGTTATTTTTAATAACTTTGTCTTTTAACCTTCATGGTAAATATATAAGTAACTTACAAACCACCACTATAGTGATAGAGTATTCTAAATTTGACTATGTACTTACTTTTACCAATAAATTTATACTTGAAGAACTCCCTTTAGCATTTCTTGTAAGACGGCTCTGGTGGTGATGAACTCTCTCAGCTTTTGTCTGAGAAAATATCTTTCCTTCATTAGTGATGTAACAGCTTTGCTGGGTGCAGTATTCTTGGCTGCCATTTTGTTGTTGTTTCTTGAACAGTTGGAATATATCATCCCACTGTCTCCAGTAAAGTTTCTGCTGAGAGCTCTGCTGCCTGCTGTCTGGGAACTCCCTTATATGTTACTGGCTTTTTCGCTTTTGCTGCTTCCGGGATCTTCTCTATGTCTCTGTTTTTTTGACAGTGTGAATATGTGTCTGGGATAGTCTTATTCGGATTAAATCTTATTTGGATTGGTGACCTTTGACCTTTCTGAACCTGGATACTTCTATGTATTTTCAGGTTTGAAAAGTTTCTGCTACTCTTCCTTTTTTTCTCTTTCTTTAAATACACTTTCTACGTCTTTATCTTTCTCTTCTTCTTTAATTCCTATGACTCAACTATTTGCTTTTTTTATGCTGTTTCATAAATCCCATAAGCTTTGTTCATTTTTTCCCTCTGACTATATATTTTCAAAAAACTTTTCTTTAAGTTCACACATTCTTCTGCTTGATCAGTTTTACTGTTGATACTCTCTATTAATTTTATCATTTTGTTCATTGTATTTTGATTCTTCAGCCCCAGGATTTCTGTTTTATTTATTTTTTAAAATTATTTCACAATCTGTGTATTAAATTTCTCATCTGGCCAGTTATTGTTTTCCTCAATTCATTGAATTGTTTCTCTGCATTTTCTTGAATTTCACTAAGCTTCTTTAAAAGTTATTTTAAATTCTTTTTCAGGAAGCTCAATTATCTCCATTTCTTTAAGGTTGGTCAGTAACACTTTATTTTGTTGCATTGGTGACGTCATGCTTCCCTGATTGTTCTTAATCCTTGTGGGCCATGCGTTGATGTCTGCACATTTGCAGATGTAAGTATTTATTCCAGTCTTCTCAGACTTGGTTTGCCTGGGAAAGCCCTTCAATAGCCTGGGCCAGGCACAGTGGCTCATTCCTGTAATTCCACCACTCTGGGAAGCTGAGGTGGGAGGATGGCTTGAGCCCAGGAGTTTGAGACCAAATTGGGCAACATAGTGAGATCCTGTCTGTACAAAAAATAAACAAAATTAGCTGGGTGTCTTGGCGTGTGCCTGTATTCTTAGCCTCTTGGGAGGCTGAGATGGGAGGATTGCTTGAGCCCTGGAGGTGCAGGCTGCAGTGAACCATGACCATAACCCTGCATGCCAGCCTGGGTGACAGAGCCAGAGCAAGATCCTCTGTAAAAAAAGAAGTCAGCCTGTCTAGAGATTCTGAGCAGGCTTTCTGGCATAGTTCTGAAGCCTGGGGCTGCTACCAGCATGCATGGCGCTGGGGATGCCAGAAGTCTGGAGCTGCTGCAGCTGGTGCATTGCTTGGGTGTGCCGGAAGCTCAGGGCTCACTCTGGCTGGAGTGCTGCCGGGGCAGGCCAGAAGCCTGGGACCCACTGGCACTGTGCTGGGGCCTACCTGAAGCTGGGGGCCACTGGGTCCTGCCTACTGGTGACGACTGTCTGGAGTCCAGGGCTGCTGACATTGATCAAGGAGTTGTGTGGGCCTGAGGTCAAGTTTGCCACACAAGCCAGAAGCCTGAGGCAATGTGGTCCAGCCTGGCACTGCAGCAGGTCTGGAGGCTCAGTCTTTAGGTTCCAGCCTGGACTCTGGGGCCATGGAGACTTACCCAGTGCTGGGTTTTACTGCGGTGGGCCCAGTGTTTGGATATCTTTGCTCACTCCCCGGTTTTCCCTGAGCAGACAATTTCTCCACGCTGTGCTGCCCGGGCTGAGGGAGGGGCGAAGTGTATAATAGAAAAGAGACCTTCACATCTTTTCTTGTTATTGTGCTACAACGCGGTAGTGTGGTCCCGCGTCTGCTTCACTTAGCTCTCCTGACAGTATTTTCATTTGCATGCTCAAATCGGTGTTCTTGTGAAGGGACGATCACTAGACACACCTATGCTGCTGTCTTGCTCCACCCTCTAGGCTGTCAGTGTGTCTCTGATTGGAGAATAAATTATATGCTGTCAAAACACCAGTGTCGAAAGTAGATAAAAACATAACCTATGAAAAGTGCAAATAAGATGTTAAATCTACAAATAACCTTTAAATCTTATTTCATTTAAAACCAACCTTAAATCCTTTCAAACGGTAAGCACATACACTGTATTCCTTTAAATCCCATAAAGCGCTTTTTAAGTTCTTTCTTAGATGATAAAAGTTTCTAAACAATAAAACTAGTTTCTTAGGCCCCGTTCAGATGTTTAGCATTATGTCCATGTGCTTTTACTTACTTCAGGAAAAGCATCCAGTGCCATCAGTTTCTGCATCCGGATGGCCCCTCTGTCCACTTTCCTCCTCATCCCCTCTGTGCTCCTGTCCATCCCCTGTCTTCTGGGGAGTGTCCATGTGCACGCCCATCAGTAGGAACCTTGGAGCAGGCTACTCGGTACACAGCAGTTCTCAGAGGTGCTACTGAACTAATAAAATGAGTATTGTAGATCACACCTCAAATAGGAGCTGTAAAGGGGGGACTGAAGATGGGAGTGTATCCTTTTCCCTTCCTAGTGAAGAGTCTTGTGCAGCCCTGGCCAGGCACCCACTCTGAGCTGGTCCCTGCGGATGTGAAGCCAACAGGGAGGGTGTCTGGGTGTGTCTGGGTGTGTGCACTTCTAGAAATGTGTCCATTTAGGAAATGGGTATTTGCTTGGCTTTTCCTAACTCATATGTCCGTCCCTTTACTGCTGCTGTGGATAGAAAGATACATTAGTCATTCCTTTAGGGAATGGCCTTTGTGTAATCATTTCATGAGATGACCACTTCTTAACTTTTCTAGAATGTCCTCCTCAGCTGCCGCACTCCTATTGCTCTAAGAATATAGTCACTCAAAATGTGTCTAGTTCATGGGTTCTTCTCCTGGCTTGTTTTAATATTAACCTGGAAAAATGTGTCTTTAATATTCTATTTTCATTTATTGATGGCTTCGTATTCCTTTTAACATTCCATGTCTTTGTGAGTTAATTTCTCCCACATTGCTTATTTTAAGAAAAAAATTCCAAAGTGTTGTTTTTGACACTGAGTTTGTTGGAAGTGACAATGTATGTTTTATGCTACCTTAAATGGGCTAAGGTCTCGGTGTGCTTACAAGAAAATCCTCAAAGGTAATGTGAATATTTCATCTTGCACCAAGAGACGAACTCCTTTATTTTCAACAAAAGCATTTTTTTAAAACATAGCAATGTTTTTTTGTTTTTGTTTTTTTTTTTGAGACGGAGTTTCACTCTCTTTACCCAGGCTGGAGTGCAATGGCGCAATCTCGGCTCACCGCTACCTCCGCCTCCTGGATTCAGGCAATTCTCCTGCCTCAGCCTCCCGAGTAGCTGGGATTACAGGTACCCGTCACGATGCCCAGCTAATTTTTTGTATTTTTAGTAGAGACGGGGTTTCACCATGTCGACCAAGATGGTCTCGATCTCTTGACCTCGTGATCCACCCGCCTCAGCCTCCCCATAGCAATGTTTTTACTAGTATCACCAGAGTGAGGTACAAGTGAAAGTGGTGTGGATGGGAGACAGCATTGATACTATTGGCTTCTTATTATGTGCTTGTCATTGGAGCCAAGCCAAGCAGTCAGCAGGCTCCATCTTTCCCATTAATTCTCCTGACTCATGAGCTGCGGGACAGAGGCCCCTCCTGTGAATGGGGGTCTGAGGTGCAGAGTGGAATGAAGATGGGAATTGAAGCTGGGTGGTTCCCCTGCCCAGAACACACAGGCGCCCCTCCTCTCTGTCCCTCCAGATTGCAGCTCATGCCCAGCCTCCTCACCTGTCCCCTATCCAGCTCTGCTCTCTCTACACACCTTTTCACTCCACACCTGGCTTTCTCCTTCACAATTTCCCTTTTCGCTCCGTCATTCCGCAAGGCCCAGTAGCAACAGGTCAGCGTAGAGCCACCTGTGCTCACATAACAGGTGCCAGCTGCTTCACACAGGCTTTCCAACATGGGCCTCTTTAAGCACAACAAGCAAGAGCATGACACCACATTCTGACCCTCAGACACCAGGGCTGGCCAGCAGCAGAGAGCTCAACCACAAACAAACACAATTCACAGCAGAAAGGAGGGTCCTTAGAGTGGGGGCTGGAGAGATGTGGGGAAGAAGCAGGAATGTCCTTTGTCCCCTACCCTGTGCGCTGACTCCACAAATAGGTGAGTGTGGGGTGAGTTCCCTGCCTAGGAGAAGTCACGCCTAGAAGGTGTGTGAGAACACGCACCAGACAAACACACTGCTGAGTTCAAGTCAGCACAGGGCCACAAAGAAAACGGTCTCAGAGCACATTACCAAAGCTACCTGGTCTGTTTTTAAAAACGCTTTAAACTTTGGGTTTGCAACATTGTGGGCTGACAAAAAATAAGCTGACGTTGTGTTCTAAGCCTCTTGCCTGTGGCTGTGACCTGATCTGGAAGGAGGCTCTTTGCAGGTGTCATGGAGGCAAGTGAGCAGCAGGGTGGGCCCAGCATTGGAAGTCGGGCCTGGTGGGAAGCGGCTGGTTCACGGGGCAGTTTCCCATGAAGGGTTTAGCACCACCCGCCTTAGTAGTGTCCTCAAGAGGAAGTGGGCTCATGAGATCTGGTTGCGTGTGTGTGTGGCACTGCCCTCACACTTTCTCTTCCTCCTGCTCCCGCCACGCCACCTGCCTGCTCCCCGCTCACCTGCCAACTCCCCGCTCACCTGCCAGAAGGAAGCTTCCTGAGGCCTCCCCAGAAGCAGCAGCTGCTGTGGTTCCTGTACAGCCAGCAGACCCTGAGCCAATTCACCTCTTTTCTTGATAAATTACCCCGTCTCAGGCCTTCTTTCACAGCACAGCGGGAATAGACGAATAGCGGCCACGAAGGCAACCTCAGCATTGGGCTGTTCTCATCACCAGCTTCTAAAACAGAGAAAACAGAAAGAGTGTGGCAGGGCACCATGTGGCATTGAGGAGCTCTCGAGTCCTTTCCACGTGGCTGTGTGGTGGCCACAGGGCCAAGGGTTCAGCCTGCTCCCTTTCCCTCCCTGACGCCACTGGCTCAACGCCCACTGCAAGCCAGCTGAGCATTCCCAGGAACCTCCTCAGCCCTCCTTTTTCTGGTCCACTCACCAGGAGGGTGCCGTCAGAGCCCCACCAGGAGAGTGCCATCAGAGCCCCACCAGGAGAGTGCCATCAGAGCCCCACCGGGAGGGTGCCATCAGAGCCCCACCGGGAAGGTGCCGTCAGACCCCAACCAGGAGGGTACCATAAGACCCCCACCGGGAGGGTACCATCAGAGCCCCACCAGGAGAGTGCCGTCAGAGCCCCACCAGGAGGGTGCCATCAGAGCCCCACTGGGAAGGTGCCGTCAGACCCCAACCAGGAGGGTACCATGAGACCCCCACCAGGAGGGTGCCATCAGAGCCCCACCAGGAGGGTGCTGCCAGCCACCAGGGCTTTAGGTGTTAATTTCACCATCTTCTTGAGCTTTGGACTGAGCAGGGTGTGATTTCCAACCCGTTTCTGCCTCTGCAATCACCCCCGCATCCCCGCCCTGTTTTAGCGTCAAACCCCAAGGCCAAGGCATGCTGAGGAGGAGCTTTGTGGTGAGATCCTTGCGGGGCATCGGCCTCTGCAGGGAGAGGCTTCCAGTCCAGGGCTCTCCCACCTGCAGGGAGAGGCTTCCAGTCCGGGGCTCTCCCACCTGTGGGGAGAGGCTTCCACATGGGGGCTCTCCCACCGCCGCAGCACTGGCCTCCCCGAGTAGCCTCTCTGGTGGGTCTCACGGGTTCACGCTGCGTGCAGAGGCTCACGCCAACTTTGCTTCTCACTCTGCAGGATGCAGTCTGGGATGGGATAAGGGCCCACACAGACTCTGCTGAGGCAGGTGCTCCCTGCATTGCCAGATGGATGCAGACGTCAGCCCCGCCCTGTGCCCAGCACACCCAGCTGTGTGCTCCAAGCAGAGCCGTCAGGAAGGAGTGAGGGTTCCAGATACTCACAGCTCTGTGGGCTCAGGGAGCAGAGGAACCCGATGTCCCTGGCCAAGATCCAGGGGTGGCAGTGCCCATGGCTGGAAGCAAATGGCCTCACAGTGCCACTCCGAAGACCGAGGCTCCGTAACCCATCACCAACTGCACGGAAGGGTAGCCTTACTGCTTGTCTTTCACCCAAAGTGCACTGGGAAGTATTCTGAATGCTGGAATTTGAAAAAAAAATTGTTTTAAAATAGCACTCCCACCGTGGGGGGGTTTTTTCAGGACTGACAGCGTTGAGTCACTCCCTTCTACTCCTGGTGCCTTCACAGAGGGCGTGCTGCTGGCTCATGCTGGGCTTAGCACTTTTCTGGCATGATGTGAAGTCACAGGCTGACGACTGTGTGGGCAACACTTGCAGGATGGAGGCCTGGGCTCAGACACTGGGCGGTAGACACGGCCAGGGGACACGCCACATCCCGGCACACACACTGCGCCACGTCTGCACACAGCTCACAGCTGACCCTGCTGGAGACACTGCCCACTCCCCAGGAGCATCTTCTCCCACCGTTGAGAGCTGGGATGGGGCAGAGCCGCCCTCCTACCCTGAGGGCATGTGAGGGAGGGATTCTAATCCTGGTGGCTTTGTTGCTTAGCTGACGTAGTGAAGAAGTGTCCAAGTGCGAGGGGACAGAGGAGTGAGTCAGGCCCTGTGCATGCCGTGCCTGGGAGGACGCAGCGTGGGGGTCTGGGGGAGGCTAAAGGCCTTGCGACCCTCCAGGTGGCCGCAAACACTCTCTTTAACGAGCTGTTTGTGCTCTGGGCGGGGTTCCTCCCATGGGCAGGAGGCTTCAGACCGCAGAGGGTGCTAACTACAGGCGTCTGTGGCTGTTTGTGCTGCTGAGGTGCAGGTCAGGCCCAGCGGTCACTGTGATCCCAAATTCCTGCGCTGCGCATACCAGACCTGTGTGAGAAAACACGGCCAGCCCGCTTTGAAACCTTCGGAGCTGGATAGAGGCATCATCCTTCAGGAATTCGGGAACCTGACGTCTCTCATCGCTGCATGTTTTCTTGGCACGGGTTGCGTTTCTGCACAGGCAGAGCCGGGCTCTGCGCTGTGAGGGGCGTCTGCGCAACAGCCTGGCATTCCAGGACTTGGGGGTGAGGAGGGCAGAGGAAGAGTCGGGACGCTAAAGCTGGGGAGACGGGGGACAAGTTCGAGGATGGTTTCCAGACCCTCCCCAGGGAGCAGGCTTGGCAGCAGGCAGGAGTTGAGAGTCCTTCTGAAGTGAGAGGGGTCCCCAGTGCTGGCACCCATGCGGACTCCCCACACCCCGAGACCTGGCACCATGCAACCCTCCCAAACCCGAAGAGCTGACACCCACGTGGCCCTCTGATGCCCCTAGCCCAGGCCCCCACATGGCCCTCACACCCCTGACACTGGCACCCACACAGCCGTAACACCAGCACCCACGTGGCCCTTCCACACCCTTAACGCTGGTGCCCACGTGACCCTCCGACACCCCTAGCACTGGCGCCCATGCAGCCCTCCTACACCATGCGCTTAAATCCTGCCTTCATCAGTGGGGGTGACCTGGGAGCTGCTGCGCCAGACCCTGGACTCCACACTCCTGCTTCCCCTGAGCCGTAGACACAGTTCTTTTGGCCCCTTCCCGGTGCCCAAGACCCCTCTGTGCCATTTCTGCAACAAATGAGCCTCCCCTTAGCTCAGCCCCAGCCCCTGGGAGGCCAGAGGACGCCCAAGGCCAGCTGAAGGAGCTTCTGGGGCTTTTCCTGCATTGCGGGCGTTTCTGTGACTCTACCGACACTGTTCCATTCCAGTCTTTTTCCCTCAGGGTCCCCGAGAGAAGGTCTAGGAGTATGCGTTTGACTTGAGTTTTTGAGGGTGGAGCAGATACAGCAAAACCCCCGGAGAGAGGTGCGGACAAAGCCCTCTCCCCACCTGGCCCCACTCTCTCCGGAACCCGGAGGACCGGCTTTCCCCAGGCCTGGTCTCAGTGCATCCCAGTCGCGTGAGCAGAAGCGCCACACACGCTCACTCCTCTCAGTTCCGGAGGCTGCAGGCCACGGAAAGGCAGATTCGGTGTCTGGGGAGAACAGCTCCTGCTTCCCAGGCAGCGTCGCCCTGTGTCATCACGAGGTGGGACGGGAGGGGAGCTCTCAGGGCCTGTCTTTTCAGGGCACGAATCCCCTTCCCAAGGGCTCCACCCTCATGACTTCCACCTCCCAACGTGGTTAGTCACCTCCTCAGCTGTCACGGTGGGAGTGAAGGGTTCTACATGTGAATGTTGGGGACGAAAACAGTTGGCCCAGGGCAGCGCGGCAGGGTGACTGGGTCAGAGCCTGCTGACACCTCGACCTCAAACTCCGGCCCCTGGAACCGGGAGAGAAAACACGGCGTTGTTTAAGCCAGGTCTGTGGTTCGTGGACTTCATAGCAGCTCTAGAAACTAATTCATTTGGTGGAATGTGGATCCATCATATTCCAATACACTGACATCCAGATTAGCATTTACCGTAAATTCTTTAGAAACCATCTCGTTACACACTCACTTTGGCCCCTCCGCGGCTACCCAGCCTCGGCTTTTTCTCAGTGGCAGTGCGGGAGTGGCCTCCGTGTGTTTAGGATCGGCTGTGCGGGAACAGTGCCGGGGCTGAGAACGGCAGAGAAGCGGCCCAGCTGTCAAGGACGGAGGGGATGGCTCTCCGGGGAGTCTCTGGCTCACCCGGCAGAATCTTGTGGCCTCCGGGTTCCACGGGGCAGCCCTGGCAACCTGGGCTTGAGTTTGCTGTGTCATAAAGCAAGGGGTGGGGCTTTCAGAGGAGGACCCGGAGGTCCCTGGAGCATCCACAGTGTAGGCTGGGCCAGGAAGTGGACGGCGGGACTTTTGAAATGTCTCCCAGGTCATTCTGAGGGGCGCCCAAAGGGTAGAACCACAAGTGTGGATGCTCTGAGCCTGGCATGGCAGAGGGACCCTGTATGGACACGCTGCCCACGGCAGGCTCCACATGCATCTGACCACAGCCCCGTTCACTGACTTTACCAAGCACGAGTGGTGGACGATTTCTAAACATCAACAATAAAAAAACGAATCAAACAGCCCGGCTAGAAGAGAGACTCGACTAGGCTTCTACTGTCTACAGAAGGTATTTCCAAGTGCCAGTGACCGTGAGAGACCCAGTCAGAAACGTGACTCTTCCTTTGAACAGCCATAATTTATTGCAATTTCCTTTCTATTCCAAATAATTTTCCCATTTCGGCCTCATTTTGTGTTTATCATTTCATGTTCTTTTTTGTGATTGTGGCCCCTAACTGTGTAAATTTCGAAGCTTTTAATGCCTCGCTCCGCCCCTCATGAAAACCCACAGCATGGGAAGAACAGCCTGTTGCAGAGGCTTCCACAGCTTCTTCCCCAGGTCTTTCTGTGTCCCAGTGAGATTGGGGTGAGGACCCGGTGTCCCAGGAGCCATTGGAGAAGACAGGGAGGCCGGGGGGAAACGGGTGACATGGGAGGGTCCTGGCCACGGCCTGACCCCATGAAGACGTTTGAGAGCAGAAAGGAAAAAAGAGACTTTGGCAATTGCTGCGAGCTTGGAATTTTGGGGAGTGTCTGAGATGTCGAGTAGGAACTTTAAGGAGTGCTGCTGAGAACTTTGCTTGTATTTCTGCCGGATTTATGTGTGTGTCTTGGCAGAAAAGGAGAGAGCAGCGAGGCACAGAAAGACATCAACAGAGCATTCTGTTGTTTGTAATACTTTTTTTTGGCAGTCTGTTATTTGAATGTAACTTTAAACAATGATTGAGCCACATGGGGCTGCGGCCCTTCTCAGGTTGCAGGTGACCATCGTCAGGACTCTGTCTCCTTTTGTTTTGCCGGCTCCCCGTGCCGTGTGTGCAGCCTTCCCCTGTGGCTGCCCCAGCCTCTCCTACCCCGTCAGCCACGGCAAGCACCCCGGGTGCACAGTTAGCTCCACTGCTGGTCCTGCAGGTGCCCCCAGAGCCGTGCCACCCGAGACGGAGCTGGACACCTCAGGCCACGGCAGGCCACTCCACCCCCTCCCACAGGACGTTTCAGCCAGTCCCAAGCACAGGGAGTCCCCAGCACCCTTCACACACCCCGGGCTCTGTCTCTTTGTGCCTTTTGTTGACTCTGTCTTGAAAGTTCTCCCCATTCTCTGACCCATGTGTGCTGCTTGCCCCTGAGGTCCAGCTTCACCCCACCAAGAACATGCCTTCAGAGTGCCCCCCATGCTCCAGGAGGACCATCTGCTTCCCTGCTCCTCTGCCTGTGCCTTGGCTCTGCCTGCAGCCCTGGCTCTGTTTGTGGCCTTGTCTCTGTCTGTAGGCCTGTCTCTGTAGCTTTGTCTCTGCCTGTGGCCCTGTCTCTGTAGTTTTGTCTCTGTCTGTGGCCTTGTCACTGTGGCCTTGTCTCTGTCTGTGGTCCCATCTCTGTGGCCTTGTCTCTGTCTGTGGCCCCATCTCTGTGGCCTTATCTCTGCCTGTGGCACTGTCTCTGTAGTTTTGTCTCTGTCTGTGGCCTTGTCACTGTGGCCTTGTCTCTGCCTGTGGCACTGTCTCTCTGTCTGTAGCCCTGTCTCTGTAGCTTTGTCTCTGTGGCCCCGTCTCTGCATGTGGCCTTGTGTCTGCCTGTGGCCCTGTCTCTGCCTGTGGCCTTGTCTCTTCCTGTGGCCTTGTCTCTGCCTGTGGCCCTGTCTCTGCCTGTGGCCTTGTCTCTGCCTGTCTGTAGCCCTGTCTCTGTAGCTTTGTCTCTGTGGCCCCATCTCTGCATGTGGCCTTGTGTCTGCCTGTGGCCCTGTCTCTGCCTGTGGCCCTGTCTCTGCCTGTGGCCCTGTCTCTGCCTGTGGCCCTGTCTCTGCCTGTGGTGCTGTCTCTGTCTGCGGCCCTGTCTCTGCCTGTGGCCCTGTCTCTGTGGTCTGGTCTCTGTCTGTGGCCCTGTCTCTGCCTGTGGCCCTGTCTCTGCCTGCGGCCCTGTCTCTGCCTGTGGCCCTGTCTCTGCCTGCGGCCCTGTCTCTGTCTGTGGCCCTGTCTCTGCCTGTGGCCCTGTCTCTGTCTGTGGCCCCGTCTCTGTGGCCTTGTCTCTGCCTGTGGCCCTGTCTCTGTCTGTGGCCCCGTCTCTGTGGCCTTGTCTCTGCCTGTGGCACTGTCTCTCTGTCTGTAGCCCTGTCTCTGTAGCTTTGTCTCTGTGGCCCTGTCTCTGCCTGTGGCCCTGTCTCTGCCTGTGGCGCTGTCTCTGCCTGTGGCCCTGTCTCTGTGGT